CTTCCTCTTCTCTCTCCCATTGCATGTCAGTGGGAGTGTATGGAATATGGTTGAACTTAGTTCATTTCTTCATTGCAGCCTTTCCCCCTCTTCCACTCACCGGTAGACCAACGTGGTTGCCAGCAAGCTTACTTGCCTGCTCATGTGTTCCCTTTGAGTTTCAGTCTTGGAGGGGGAAGGCAGTAGACTTTTATAGAAGCAGACTGCCACTTCTTTCTCCCCAAGAAGCAGCTGACAGGTTCAAATAACTGATTTTTTTTTTTGGTTACCAACTGAGCATTTAACCACTGTGCCACCAGGGCTCCTTTAATAATTGTTAAGTGTCATTGAGTCAATTCTGTCCCATAGCACACTGTATAGGGTTTCCAAGTAGCTGCTGGTAAGCTTGAGCCACCGACCTTGCAGTTCAAATGACTTTGCAGTCTGATGTATTGGCCCACAGTGCCACACGGAGCACCTATTATTGATGAACTGTGTACACATTTTACATCCATAAACTCTGGTGTTTACAATGACACTGCAAAAAAGGTCTTTGTTGTGTCTGTTTTATAGATGAAGAATTAAGGCTTTCTTGATAGGGCTCTCAGTGTTCCCAGAAATAAAGGGATTATCTTGGATATCGGGATCCTGGCCCAATATAAATGAAAATCATGCAGAATGGCATAGTTATGTCTTGAGCTTTGGAGTGAAAAAGACCTGGATTCAAGTACTAGTTCTATGAGTTACTTTAAGACCTTGTTTACTTAACTTTTCTGAGCCTCCTTTTTCACATACATAAAATAGGGATTAAAAAATATCTGTCAGAAGGTTTCTTCTGAGGATTAAATACGATAGTGCATACAAAAAGTTTTGCACTGTGCCCTGAAAATATTAGATGTTTACTAAATGGTAAGAGTAATTATGTGCCAAATCTTAGGTCAGAGTCCTGGTGTGGTGCTGTAGGATAAGCCACAAGGTTGACTGTTCAAACCAACCAGATACTCCTTGGAAACAGGATCACTATGAGTCAAAACTAACTCAACAACACTTAACACCAACATCTTAGGTCACTTCCTTCCTCAAGTACTGTACTTCCTATACTGAAGGCAAAAGATTAAGGGGAAAAGGGGCAATAGATAATTAGCAATAATAGCAATAAGTAATATTAGCTGGACACTTACTAAGCACTCATTAATGTGCTTCTTAATGGAATCTAACATTTGTGTATCAAATGTCCCTGTTAGAAGAAACCACATGGATTCTGTGACCACAGAATCTTGATGGTCAGATATAAGAGCAAACTGCAGAAGGTTGGTGGTTGTTGTTGTTATGTGCCGTGGAGTCGGTTCCGGCTCATAGTGACCCTGTACCATGTTTCCAAGGCTGTAAATCTTTATGGGAGCAGAAAGCCTCATCTTTCTCCCACAGAACAGCTGGTAGTTTCGAACTGCTGACCCTGAGGTCAGCAGCCCGATTCATAACCACTACACTACCAGACAGTTGGTAGGTCAGCAAATTGTGTTATATGAGAAATGGGGAACACTTTAGCATTACAAATCATCACCCCCTCATGTTTGGGTTCAGTAAGTTCAGACTTTTTGAAAGTACAGTGGGCTTTGATGCATCTGGGAAGGCTGAGAAAACCTGAATATTGCATTGGATACTTTTCTTAGTGATGTGATTCCAACTGCAGCAGTGCCCACTGGTAACTTGTATTCCTCTTGTGAGTTTTATTAAAATCTATCCTAACCCAAAGCACACCACAGGATTGCCCTTGCTTTTGGTTCATGCTATGCCCTTGGAAATCTCAATTTGAATCTCTCAGGGTGTTCCCTTGTGCTCCAGCTGCAGGTGACGAGTGCCCTCTTCTGGCCATCCAAGCAATGGTTCCTTCCATTGGTGCACAGACAACTAATTTGTTTAGATTGATGAAAGGGAGATTCTTCTCATGGGAACAGATCCAAGAAGAAAATCCTTTCCTCTGAATCATCACAGTTCAGTTTGCTTTATATGCATCACAACTCTTACAAGCCCATCCAAGTAGAATATTTTTCACCAAAAGATCTGACCTGGTCACCAGGGCCTCACTACAGCTTGTTGTTGTTATGTGCTGTGGAGTCAGTTCTGACTCATAACGACCCTGTACAGGGTTTCCGAGGCTGTAAATCTTTACGGGAGCAGAAAGCCTCATCTTTCTCCTGTGGAACCGCTGGTAGTTTTGAACTGCTGACCGTAAGATGGCAGCCTAATTCGTAACCACTACACTACCAGAGCTCACTACAGCTAAATCTACCTCAATAGATAATAGGAGTGGCTTTTACTACTACAGCTGAGGTTTAAGATGGTAAATTATTGCGGTAAGGAAAAATAAATCCCCTCTGGTATCTGTTTGAAGAAGACAAGTCCTATTTCATGTCATCTGAATATGTCATCCATCCATAGAGGGAGACAGATATATTGGAAAACACATAATTTGTTCTCCTCCCTTGTCTTTCATGGACTTCTGAGTTATAAATCTTGATGAGACCAGCATACAGTTGATAATTTTATTGTATTTCCAAATGTAATTTAGAGTTCACAGATGTCAGCTTGAGGACTAAGGTGTGCCTGACCCAAGCCATGGTATTTTCAATAACCTCATATGCATGCAAAAGCTGGACAGTGAATTAGAAATACCATAGAAGAATTGATGCCTTTGAGTCATGGTGTTGGAGGAAAATACTTAAAGTGCCATGTGCTGCCAAAAGAACAAACCAATCTGTGTTGGAAGAAGTGCAGCCAGAGTGCTCCTTGGAGGTCAGGATGGCAGACTTGGTCTCTCATGCTTCGGACATATTGTCAGGAGGGACCAGTCTCTGGAGAAGGATATCATGTTTGGAAGACCCCCAATAAGATGGATTGGCCAAGTGGCAGCATCAATGGGTTCAAGTGTGGCAACAATTGTGAGGTTGGCCCAGGATCGGGCAGTGTTTCATTCTGTTGTGCATATGGTCGCTATGAGTCAGTACTGACTCGATGGTACCTAACAACAACAACTGAAACTTTGTAGAAAATAGAGTCCTGGTTTCCCTTACTGAAGGTTTCTTGCTGCTCTTTATGATCATAATTATTTAGCAGAGTCTAACTTAAAAATAAAGAAGAAAATTCTTCCTCATCCATCGCCCTTGAGGTGCCAAGAATTGCTATGTAATATCCTTGGTATCCACATTTACCAGGCTCTTAAAAGTACCCGGTACCCCAAACCAAATCTAAACTTTAAAATGGCAATTATAATATATACCCTACAGGGCTGTTGTGAAAATTACAGCTAATGTGAGTGCAAGGGCTAGTTTAGGTTTCTCAAAGTTTCTTCATTTAAGTTCCACATTTCTCAACAGGGACACTATTGTGATTTTCAGCAGGCAATTTTCATGGGGTGAGACTGTCTAGACTATTATAGAATCTGAGCATCCTCATAGTATCCCTTCTCAGTCACTGTGTCTGCCACAGATGCCCACATATACTTCTCCCAGGAGGGAGAACCCTGTCTGTCCTGACACATAGTAGACAGCTGGTTATTCATCATCGCTGCTCCTTGTACCATTGTTGTTGTTAAGTGTCGTCGAGTTGGTTCTGACTTACAGCAACCCTGTATAGGATTTCCAAGGAGTGGTTGTTGAGTTTGAACTGTCAATCTTGTAGTTCAAACCGACCTTGCAGCCCATTACTTTATCCCCCCACGCCACCCCAGGACTCCTTGGACCGTCTGAATTGCAGAAAGAACACTTTGCAGGTTTGGATTTGCTGTAGGAATCCTCTCCAGGCCCTTACTACTGACTACAGCCCAGCACAGTTCCAGGACTCTTGCTCGTCTAGAACAAGGCTGTCTTGACAAATATGACTGACAATAATGAGCAGCTCTCCTCGATGCACCAGGATGGAAAATAAATCCCAAGAGAATGTTCTCAGCCAAGACCCTTCAGCTTCCTGGTGCCCATGTGAGCTCACTTACTCTGATTTGGTCCTAGTCGCTGAACTTGTGGTTAAACTTGCATTCAGTCATTTATTTAACCAATGTATATCAGCACCTACTAGGGAGCACAATGGCTCCATACCATAAGCACTGGACTGTGAACCACAAGTTCCATGGTTCTAGCCCACTAGCCTCTCCACGGGAGAACCATGAATCTGCTCCCACAAAGATGTAAATGCCTCAGAAACCCTGTACAGGGTCAGTATGAGTCAGAACCAATCCGATAGCACTTAGCAACAACAACTATCCATCACAGAGTCCTGGTATGGTGCTGTAGGATCAGCACTGGGCTGTGAACTGAAAGATAAACAGTTCAAACCCACCAGCTGCTCCTTAGAAACCCTATGTAGGATCACTATGAGTGAAAACTGACTTAATAGCACACAAAGCAACAACCATGCACCACACCCTATTTTCATCCACACCTCATACCTGTGAGGTTGTTGACATTGTCACCAATTTATAGATGAGGAAAAAAAGGATCCAAAAGGCTCAATGACTTGTTCAGAGTCAGCTAGCCAATGAGTGGAAAGACTGCCTTCAACCTCAGATCTACGGCTCTAAATCCATGGTTCTCCTCACCACGTCCTCATGCTGTTTCCCTGGTGAGTGGGATAATGTCTGCTTGTGGAGCTCAAGCACTGGTAAGAAGGGCAGAGTAGTAAGCAGTGTGTTGTGTTCCAGGACAAGAGTGTGGGCAGGAAAGTGTGAGCGCACAGAGAATGGAGTACCCGCCCCAGCCTTTGGGGATCCTGGAAGGCTTCCAGAAAGAGATGACTAGTCTTACAGGAGATCCAGGAACAAAGCAAACTTGGAAGTGAGGGGAGAGTGTTCCTGATAGACAACCACATCTGCACATGTCAAGAGGCTGGGTGGCACCTGTAATACTGAGATGAATTTACAGACCAAGGCAGGAATGACTAGTGACGAGGTTGAAATGACTAGTGATAGCTTCTCTTCCTAACTTGATCCTGTCTGCCAGTGAGTAACTCAGATTATTTTCTTTCAGCCAGGGACAAATGGTGGCCTTCAGACCCTCAGATCATATCTGAAGGACTCTATGCGATAGCTGTTGTGCTGAGCTTCTCTCGCATTGCCTACATCCTGCCAGCTAATGAGAGTTTCGGGCCTCTGCAGATCTCCCTGGGGAGAACTGTGAAAGACATCTTCAAGTTCATGGTCATTTTCATCATGGTATTCGTGGCCTTCATGATTGGGATGTTCAACCTGTACTCCTACTACCGAGGTGCGAAGTACAACCCAGCGTTTACAACGTGAGTACCCTAGGGCCCTCCCCAGGGAGTTCTCTGAGCATCTTAGGATTCTCTTGCAAGTAGCCTCAGGAAGACTCAGATGTCCTTAGTATTTCTCAAGGTTAAAGGCAGCTTTACTCAAGGTGGTTTAGAGTTTAGATTCTAGACCTGGAAGAACTGAAGAGTTGGCTTAGATGCCCATTTTGCTGTTTAAATGTTTGTGTGAACAGAAGCATATATTCCTTACCTCCTTAATAGAGTTACTAAATATGACTCCTGGCATAACACTGTATGAGAGTAATAATAGTAACTACTTCATAGGCATAGTATGGGAATTTAAATAGATGACATGCCTTCCTTCCTTATGTAAACTTACGATTGTTGCCCTTATGTCGACTCCAACTCCTTGAGACCCAGAAGAAGCTACTGCAAGGGTTCAGCTGGTCAACTAGACCAGTAAGGTGGCAATGGAGCCCCATAAGCTTATCTCCACAGAGATCCAATCTTCCTCCTCTCTGTGGTAGCCACATGGACAATTATCAGTAGTAGCCTGGAGTGGAAGAGTCTGCCAGACGAGTTTACATCCTGGCCCAGGCATTTACTGGCTGATGACCTTAAGCCAACTCACTTGGTTTATCTAAGCCTTGGTGATCTCATCTTGGCTGTTGTTGTTAAGTGCCGTCAAGTCAGTTCCAACCCATAGCTGGGGAAATAATGCTTTCCATCCTATTTGTAAATACTCTCATGAATAAATGAGGTCACAATGAACACACAAAAGTGTTTTCAGTCTCAGTTTTTCTCAGGCCCAGTCACACCCAGAACTCCCTGCCTTCATCATGTCCCTGACCAGAATCTTGAGAATTGGGGCCCAGTCCCACCCAGAATTCCATGCCTTCATCGTGCCCCTGACCAGAATCTTGAGAATTGGAAAGTTCATTTAGAAAAGCCAGGTCTCCATTCACAACCACAGTAGCAGGGAGCAAGGGGCTAAACACATCCCAATATGTGTCTCCAGGAATCCCTGAGTAGCCTGGACTTTATTGTCAGAGGAACTGGCTCTGACTCTCAGCGAGACAGGCTGTCTGAGCAATTCCCACCTTGCAACACTGTCTCACCTTACCATTCTTCTGGAGAAATCAGCCATCTAAGGGAAGATCCTTGTCTCTAAGAGCCAGGACCAACTGCAATGAACCCTGAGCCATTTTACTCAGACTCATGGGATGGAGGAACTACCTGGTGATGAGGGGCCCTGCAGACGCTGTTACTTTCTGAGGGAAAGCAGATGTGGCCTGTGTCCACAGAGAGCAGGTGCCCACTCAGTGCTAAGAAACTCCCTTGAGGGTTTTCTGTCTCTGCTGCACAGCCTCAGGCTACATTGGAGCCTCATCACCCTATGGGTCTGACAGGCTGGGTTTCCATCTGAATGTGCTTCATACTGGCTGTGTGGCCTTGGATGAGTGCTTAAACTCATCGGGCCTCAGTGACTCTAGATCTAAAAGGAGGACACTGTGGGAAACAACCTTGCTGGCTTGTTGTGGAGACCCAATAAGAAGAAACCTGAATAGAACTTCTGGAATGACATTGTAGGATAAGTAATGGCACTGCTAACTGTAAGGTCAGTGGCTCAAACCCACCAGCTGTGAACAGGTTTGCTATGAGTCAGAACTAATGAAGGCACTTGACAATGATGACAAAAGAGAATCAAGTAGAGTACTTAGTATACATTAAATGGTAGGGATGATGGTGGAGATCATGAATAAGGAAGGAGGGGAAGTGGGGAGGGAAAAGGCAAGAAAAGATACCTTGGGTACCGAGTTGGCTCTGTGGGACCCTGTCTAGGCAGATGCCTAGGTTACAAACTGTCCACCAGGACTCCTAGATGTGAGAGATCCAACCAAAGAGGAGCCCAGGTCTTCCAGGATGGGGAAGAGGGAGAGGGTGTGGGAGTGGCAAGTGCAGTGAAGGAAAGGCAGGACATTTTTTGTATTGGCAGTTCTTGCAATGGGCTGAGCAGCTGTGAACAGGATTTAATTGAATAGGAAAACAGTCAATAGCACAGCAAAGTGGAGAGGCAAAAAATGGATTTTTATAAATGTCAAATTTACCACTCTGGACTCTGACTGCTCTCTAGATTGTGTCACCCCCTAGAGATCTACTTTGATAATAAAAACAAGCCGCAAGAGGATAGCTGAAGTTCACACCTGTGGACCCTCAGAGCCGATCACTGTACCAGCTTAAGGATGGTAAAACTGAATGACCTCACTGAGGAGGCAAAGGTTTGCTTGGGAGCTTCCTTCCTTACTCACTCTGCCCATCCCGGGACCTTCTCTTTGGTTCCTTTGACCTTTTTTTCTGTAGAATTTTGAGCTTGCAGACTAACACAGGGGCCCCCTCATATGTTTCAGTATGAGTCAGAAGATGCAATCCTACAAAAGGGAAACTTGGGCCAGAACACATTGAAGGTAACCACCTACCGCCCCCACCTACAACACCCCAGCACTGCTACTGCTGGGTGTCTAAAAGCTTTTGGAGTCCACTTTGAAAGTCAGCTATTAGGAACCTAGAAAGAACTTTCTAATATGAACCTGGCTCGCATCCGGGGGTGTGATTCCCTGGCTAACTCATAAAAGCCAGCCCTAATCAAGTGCTACTGACTTATAGTACTTTCCAGAAAAGGCAAGACAGACATATTGGTACAAAAAAAAAAAGAAGAAAAAAGATTTTTCTTTTTTTTTTTTTTCCCTAGAATAAGCATATTCCAGATATATTATCATCTTCAAGAGTAGTTACAAGAAAGGCAATTCTTGTATCTACCATTTTCTAAATATTTACCATGTGCCAGGGGGTGGTACTGAGGATGTGCTAGGAACTCTGGTAAGCACTTACGTATGTTTACTCACTGAACCTTACAAGACTCTAGGAAGGATCACAGTCCATCTTGTGGATAAGAAAATCCAGAAACATAAAGTGAGTTTCCTAAAGTTAAAAGGGAGAGCCAAACATAGTCTGTACTGTTAATGAAAAAGGACAGATTTGCCTGTGGCCTCTATCAACTGCAGACCCCCAACCCTCAACTAAGCCCTGCACTAGCCCCCAATGTGCTTCATACTTCCCTCCCCACCAGCAGATTCCCATCCCCTCCATCCTGCAGGCTCTGTGCAGAAGCTCGAAGAAAATAGGCAGATTGAAGTGTGGACAGTGTTAATTGAGATCAGTGGTTCTATTTGTGATTTCCCAGTCCCCATCCCTTGTTGTTGTTGTTGTTGTTGTTGTTGTTGTTGTTGTTGTTGTTAACTGCCATCGAATCTGTTCCGACTCATAGCGATGCTGTATAGGGTTTCCAAGGAGCAGCTGGTAAGCTTGAACCTCTGACCTTATGGTTCAAATTGACCTTGCAGTCCAGTGCATTACAGGCACAAACATTCGACTTACATATCACCTGTGGTTATGAACCAACCCCATAAAACCTTCTTGTTATTGTTAAGTACCATTGTTTCAGTTCTGACTCATGCCATTTCTGAGGAGCAGCTCGTGGATTTGAACTGCTGACCTTGTGGTTTGCCATCCAGTGCTGATCCTACAGCACCACACCAGGAGTCCTCAGTAAAACATTTGTTGCTAAGTGCCGTCGAGTCGGTTCCGACCCATAGCGACCCTGTACAGGGTTTCCGAGGCTGTAAATCTTTACGGGAGCAGAACGCCTCATCTTTCTCCCGCGGAGCAGCTGGTAGTTTCGAACTGCTGGCCTTAAGGTTCGCAGCCCGATTCGTAACCACTACGCTACCAGAGCTCCTTTAAAACATAGTATAGTAAAAATTTAAGGTATATGTAATGGTTAGTAATAACAACTGGGCACTATTCTCCAGAACACATCAGGACATTATTGTCATTGTTAATATTATGAAAGATGTTTTGATGTATCTGGAAATGTTTCTTTAATGTTTTATAGGGTTTTTTTCCTTTTTTTTTTTTCAAATGTTTTATTGTGAATTATGTGGTAGTTTACAAGGGAGAACATTAGCTTTACATTCATACTATCTTATATCATTAAACTGCTTTAATGGAGGGGTTACAGTCCCCTCCATGCATCATCAACCAACCAAAGAGTACACCCTGCAAGCCTGCCCCCCTAGTTGTCAGCACACAGTTCCTCTCCCTCTCTGGGCCTAGAGTTCCCGGCCACTCCATCTCTCCATGTCATCATCTCTGCCTTCTTTAATGTTTCTTTATGCATAGGAAAGTATGCTATAGACTCACACAAACTGATGCTAGACACCAACTGTACCAACTGTTCCAACTTACATACAAATATGACTTAAAAACAAACTTGGAAATGGCACTCATTCATAATCCAAGGTCTGTCTATAGTTACAGGGTTGTTGTTGTTGTTATAGGGTTTCTGAGGAGTGGCTGGTGGGTTTGAACCTCCAATCTTTTGGTTAGCAGTTCTCTGCTTATCCTACGGCACCACACCAAGAGTCCTAGTTACAGGGTATGGGCCAGAAACCTGCATTTAACAAGCCCTTGGGCAATCTTCAGACCATTGATCTGGTGCAGCCTCACCATTACATGGGTGGGAGGCTGAGACTGTTCATCCTTACTGCATTTCTGAGAGAAAAACAGAATTCATTTTTTTTTTTTTAAGTCTGTTAACCTCAGTGAGCATCTCAGGCCCTGTGCAGAAAGACCTTTATGTGCAAAGGACCCTGAGTAGGTAGCCACATTCATAGTGGAAGGAATAGGCCCTAGGGTCAGGTCCAATGAGCAGGCTCCAATTTTGCCAGCTTTCTTCCACACCAGCACGAAGGATTCTTTCAAAGTCCTGACTTATTTTCCACAACCACGTCTATGTCAAGCTGGTGAACTGGAGGAGCTGGGACACGTGTGCATGGGGCATTGGGTGGTGAACCGGGCTCTGTCTGGGCATGACAGATAGTCTACCTACTGGCAGCTCATTATCTCAGGCTGCTTCTATTAGAACCTGCAAATGACTAAGGAGGAGAAACGGGAAGTGTTCAGAC